GTGCTGCACCGCAGCTAGCCCATACCATACACCAATACACTGATTCCTGCTCTCTTAGGGTAATAACGGGTAAGGTGTGGCAGCTTAGTTGTGCCCGCCAGTAGGTAAATTACTACGCTTTCTACCTTCATCCTTCAGGAGGTGCCGTGCTGTGCAGCACAAGGGTCTTAGCCTTTGGGCTGGGTGTATGTAAATTTATTGTATGTTTCCAGCATTTGTGGTTGTGTTTATTTGCCACATCTAAGTAAAATTCTGTTGTGGCAAAAGCTGGTGTTGGGGTTGCTTTCCTCGTTCGTGACTTCACTGTATCCTGGGGAGCCCACCCCGGTACACGGCTTACACGGCTGTTGGGTGCTGGCACCGCCATCTTGACTAAGGGAAACTGGCAGTGAAGCCTTGCGGCCTCAGAGCCGGTTTCCGACTGCACATGCTTGAAGCGTTGTTAATGGGCTGCAGTCCTCTGAGACATGTGAAGTGTCCCAGATGGCTGCGGTGGGCTGCAAACTTCCGTCTCAGTTCACTGCAGGTAAGTGGGCACCAAAACCAGGTACCTGCTCCCCTCTCCCCACAAAAGGTGCCAAATGTGGCTTAGGAGGGGGGGAGGCAGATAAGCGAAGCTTCCACTTTTAGGAGGAACTCCGCTGTAAGGTAATGCAGTTCTAAATAGCAAAGAATGCCCTGGTCATGGGGGGGAGGGGGTAAAACCTTCCAGCAGTCAAGTGGTTAAAGCCATTAGTGCCTCCCTCTTCCATTACTTTACATTTCTATTGGCTTCACAGTGTTTTTTTATGAAGGAAGAAAGGTTTAGTTTCCTATAACAGTTTCAGTCATTATACGATTTTTATAGAGGTAAGTATCTGGTTTATGTGTCTCTTTCGCTCATTGCCTCTACGTGATAACTCAGAGCTGTTCTGTGAAAACTCCACGTCTGTTCAGCCCTCAGCAGGAACAATAAAGTTTTACGAAAGAGAAAAAAAGCGCCAGCTCAGCGTATTCGATCCCTCTCCAGTTCTCCGCCCATCAAGACCATAGAGATTCAGAAACCAGGGATAGAGCGTGCACCTTAGTGTTTCCTGTGGGTCGGTACACGTAGAGGAACTGTAATGTGATAGGGACGAGGTGGGGCAGACATCCGGTGACGTGTGGGCTATAGAAGTCGGTGTGTGAAGAGTGCTACGTGTCCCAGTGAGCAGAGGCCGGAAAGAGGACAGTGTCTGAGAAAACACAGCACACGGTACGTATAGGCTGGAAGGGCTTCTCATATGGACTGAGCACACTGAGCCAGGAGCAGTCAGTGTCAGCTCTCCAGAATACGTCCTGTATTTCACAATGGCTCCTACGAATGGGCTCATATTGGCTGCAGTTAGTGTTTAACGGACACTAAACTTGGCTTTAGGAAAAGTTCTGTTTCTGTCTGTGTATTCCTCAATGAATACTCCAGATCTCTAAACTCCCCCTTTGTTTTCTGCTGCTGTGGTCCGACTTCCTGTTAGAGGGTGACTACATTCATTTTCCATGCTCCCCTGTATATAGGAATGTGCAGCAGTGCACAGGACCACAACTAAGGTGCACTAATCAAATAGAATCAAGTGGGGGAAAGAAGAGGTTCAGCAGCTCATAGACCAGTGGTTCTCAACCTGTGGGTTGTGACCCCTTTGGGGGTCGAATGACCCTTTCACAGGGGTCGCCTAAGACCATCGGAAAACACATATTTCTGATGTGTTGAAAGCAGCTACTGTGTTGAAAGCAGCTGCAGTGTGTTGAAAGCAGCAGTATTGGAGGTAAAACGACACTCATGAATTATAATTACTGGGTAAATAATTTTATGGTTGGGGGTCACCACAACATGAGGAACTGTATTAAAGGGTCGCGGCATTAGGAAGGTTGAGAACCACTGATATAGATGAAGAAAAATGCAGTAACAAAAATCAGGGAAATAGATTACCCACTTGTGCAAAACATAAAACACATATACCCCCTTCCTGCCCAGGCTGACGCATTTTGAATAACAATTGCGTGATCATGCAACACTACCCATATGAAATTTTTATCATTTTTTTCCACACAAATAGAGCTTTCTTTTGGTGGTATTTAATTGCCGCTGGGTGTTTTTAATTTTTTGTGCTATAAACAAAAAAGCAAAAAAAATGAAGAAAAAAAGTTTATTATAAAATTTTGCAAACAGGTAATTTTTTCTCCTTCACTGATGTGTGTTGATGAGGTGACACTGATATGCAACACTGATGAGGTGGCACTGTTATGCAGCACTGATTGGGAGCACTGGTGGGTGGCACTGATTATCAGGGCACTGATGATCGGTTGCTGATCCGTCCTCTGACAATTGCCGGTTATCGGCAGTACTTTCCTCAGTCACAGCGCGAGGAAAGTACTGCTGATAACCAGCAAGTGCATTTACCGGTGATCTGCTGTCATTGGACTCAGCTGATCACATGGTAAAAGGCTGCTGTGATTGGCCTTTTATCACATCACGTGACCAGCTGTGTCCTGTAGGACACAGTGATCACGGAGATCACTCGGAGGGCACGTTCTGGGAGGATGTTGTATGACGTCCTCCCAGGACTGGACAACCGAGCTGTAGCCATCATTCAACTATAGCACAGTTGACAAGTGGTAAAGGGCCATTAAGTAGTTGATATGTATGGATTATTTTTTAAAAAGAAATATATTATTTGGGGTCAGTTTCTGCATCTGTATGAAGCATTGGGCTGGGGCTGTGTGAACCCCAACCTATGAAATGTATGTGAACCTACACCCTAAGTGTATGTCTTGGAGCATGTGCATCGGCCTTGGAAAAGCAATCTACAGTATCACTTTCAGAGAGCGGTGCAGCTGATCGGCATCCAGGAGGTGATGCTGCCACTTCTTAAATGCACTCTTTTTTTTTTTTTTGAATGGGGGTACAGTACCTCAACCAGGAGTCTAGCTATTGGCTCATGATTATAGCGCAGCCCTTCATTAGATTGCATGCTAGGGGGATAACGTTTGCTGCAAAGCATTGTGGCCATGACATGTGTACACTCCTCATCCAATTGCCTTTGCAGCTTTTTGTAGCTTAAACCACTTGCCCTATAGAGGATTTACCCCCCCCCCCCTTCCTGACCAGGCCATTTTTTGTGATATGGCACTGCTTTACTTTAACTGACAATTGCACGGTCATGTAACACTGCACTCAAATGAAATTTATGTCCTTTTTTTTTTTTTTTTTTCACCTACAAGTAGAGCTTTCTTTCGGTGGTAAAACGCCTCTGCATTTTTTTATTTTTTGCGCTATAAAGAAAAAAAACAAAGACTGTCAATTTTGAGAAAAAACATTTTTGAGTTTTTGCTATTAAATATGTCCAGTTAAAAAAATCTAATTTTGTCTTAAATTTAGGCCAAAATGTATTCTGCTACATGTCTTTGCTAAAAAAAAAATCCCAATATGTGGAAATTAATTGGTTTACGTGAAAGTTCTAGCATTTACAAATGGCGCTATATATGCTAGAATTTAAAAACAAAAAAAAAATGTATACAGACAACAACTAACATACACATGTGTGCTATTGCTACGATCGCTAGGAGCAGAAGTTATTTTGCTTTGTTCTTTGGTGGTTGGTTAATGGTGGTAGCAAGAAATATACAGCTAAATTAAGAAGAAAAAAAATTTTTTTTTTTTTTTTTTTTTTTTACTTTTTTGGGTCAGTTTCCCTTTGATGAAGAAATCATCTGGAGATATCCATTACCATTTACCACCAAGTGAAAGCTCAATTTGACCTGAAAAAAAAGGTATAATCCACCTGCATGCACAAAGTAGTTCTGATATGTACGGTTTTGCTAACACATGTCAAAGTTGCAAAATTGTGGTTAGGCTTTAAGATTTGTTTTACCCTTAGGCATGAAGGGGTTAAATAGGGAGTAGTAAAAAATCACAGCTAAACTAAGCTGTTCTCCCATTCTAGCAGGGAGCATGGCACTGAAGCTGGTGGTTCCACCAGCTTACCATAGAGCTGATCAGGGACTGGATTATCCCTGATCATCTCTATGGTATTACAAACCTGAAGTGCCAAGTATTTTGTCACTTCCAGTTTCTGTCTTCTGTTTACCAGCCATTGTCGGCTAGTACAAGCTTCGAATCAGCCTGATTTTTGTTTGACCTGATGCTGTTAAGAGCATAAGAAAGTACCTGAAATGGGACCTGTCACTGCTGATAGGTGTCACAAGGATGTTTGCAAAGGGACAGGTGTGAAAAAAAACCCAAAAAACTAAATAATAATACAATTTTAAAGCCCCTCCCACCATACTTGCACCCAAAGGTGAACGTTCATGTCAGTCCCACACATAGATAAACGGTGATTGCACCACACAGGTGAGGTAACACCGCGAATGTCAGCAATAATTATAGTACCGGACCTCGTGTAATTCTAAAGGCTTTTAAAAGCGTTGGTAATAGAGATTTTTATGTCCTGTAGTTCGGCGCCATTCCACAGGCCTATGCAATTTTAAAGCGAGACATGTTGGGTATATATTTACTTGCTGTAACATCTTATTTTATCACAAAATGGGTAATATATTGTGTTTTGTGTGCACTAAAATTAAAATCCCCACCCCCCCCAAAAACATTTGCTTTTAAAAAAAAAAAAAAAAAAAAGAAAAAAACCACTGCGCAAATACTACACAACATAAATTGTAACACGCACATTTTTTTTTTTCTCTAGGGTGTCTGCTTAAAAACATATATAAGTTGTGGAGGTTCTTGGTAATTTTCGAGCAAAAAAATTATTTTTACATGTAGGAGAGAAATGTCAGAACTGGTCCAGTAGGGAAGTTGTTGAACAAAGAAGCCCTAAATACTTGTGTTATTTACTGTCCAGCCAGCTATCCATTCTTTTCACAGTAAAATGAAATTTCTAGACATATAATTTTCATACTGCTTATTTTTTTTTCTATATTGTTCAATGTACTTTAGCTCCTCCTTTCTTTTTTTTTCTTTTTTAGGCACCATGGATCAGGTAATGCAATTTGTTGAGCCCAGCCGTCAATTTGTGAAAGATTCTATCAGACTTGTCAAGAGGTGTACTAAGCCAGACAGGAAAGGTAAATTATTTTTAACAGCTAGGTATTGCTAAATGGATATGTATAAAAATTGATCAGTCATGATGGCCTATCTCATTTTCCTGAGGTCCTAAAATGCCAGGACAGTACAAATACCCCCAAATTGGCCTTTTTTAGAAAGTAGACATCCCAAGGGATTTAGTGAGAGGCATGGTACGTTTTTTAAGTGTTGTGTTTTTTTTTTTTTTTTTTTCCACAATTCTTTATAAAATTAAATAAGATTTTTTTTTTTTTCTATAAAATTGTCATTTTAACAACTAATGTCTTACACATGGCATAGGCATGCTTGCAATTACATCTCAAAACACATTGTGCTACTTCTCCCAAGTAAGGGGATACCACATGTGTGAGATTTGTTTTTCTCACAGCCTAGCCACATAGAGGGGCCCAAATCAAAGAAGCATGTTTGGGCTTTCAAGGAACATAAATTGCGCATATAATTTCCTGACTACCTATCACACTTTTGAAGGCCTTGGAACACCAGGACAACAAACGCCCACAAAATGACCACGTTTTGGAAAGCAAACACCCTAATGTATTTTTCATGAGGCATAATGAGTCTTTTGAACATGTCATTTTTTTTAAGTTTTTAAAAAATGTTGAAAGAAAATGAAAACATGATTGATTTTTTACACAAAATTGTAAGCTTATAAGGTATTTCTAACACACAGCATGGACATACTAAGAAATACACCCCAAAATACATTCTGCTACTCCTGAGTGTGGTGATACCACGTCTGACACTTTCACAGCCTAGCCACATAGTCCCAAAATCCAAGGAGCACCTTCAGGCATTATAGAGGCAAAAATTACACACTTTATTTCTGACTACCTATCCCATTTTTGGAGGCCCACTAGGGACACCGACAGATGTTGATGTGCACTTGGTTAGGGACAGATGGTGCACTGTTTACTGATGGTTGCACTGTGTGTGATATCTGTGCAGCTGCACAGTAAAATCAGCAACTACACACATATTGCTGACAGGCTGTAGCAATCCTCTCCCTCTCTTCACTGATCTAAGAGGGGGAGCCAATACAGAGCCACGTGCCTCTGTTTACATTGAATTATGGCTGTGATTGAACACAGCCATTACATGATCGGGAAGGCCAATCAGAGAGCCTATGTCTCTATCTGTGATGCCCTGTGTCTGAGGGATACAGCCATCACAGGATTGCGCCACTGTGCAGCCCCAAGCTCTGACCGGCCATATGGATACGTCCTGTCAGAACAGTGCTTGTCCCACCTGGCCGTTTATGTACAGTGGCCGGGCGGGAAATGGTTAATGTACTCTCAGCATGGGAATGTTAATATGTAAAGCTTGTGAGTGTCAAGTGGATAAATGAAAGCTGTACTAAGGCAGTATGAAGAATACCATTACCTACCACCTTTATGAAAGTACTAACTCCCTGGCTGTTATCCTCGTTCAGTGACTTCAGTATCTTGAATCACTGACCAGGAAAGTATGCAGAGCTGGTTCTGTACCTTCAGATTGCTGTGATTGGTTATAAAGAGGCCAATTACAGCAAGCACATTATGTAAATGGTGTATATTAACATATGTAAGGCTCCAATGTCCTCTTACAGCAGAGGAAGGGGAGGGAACAAATGGATGAATGAGTCATTCATTATTTCCCAAATACAGTACAGTCATGGCAGCAGCTGCTGCAAATAGTTTGGTTTTTTTTTTCCCCTCTTTCACTCCACCTCCTTTCCTACATTCATGATCGCCATACTGTGTCCCTGTAAAATGTATGTGAACTCATTCACCTCCCTTATCCTGAACATTAACCCTTTTTAATCTCTATCATTTCTCTTTGTGATCTTCACTTTCAAGACCTGTATGCACTGTATCTGTTGCACCATTACCAAGTTGCAAGTTTTAGCTCCCTTATTACCAGAGTGCTTTTTAATTTCCAGTAGATCGCAGAAAAAAATTAGGTCAGCTGGGTTTTTTTTAAGTTTCAAAATCTTGGTATTTTTTTTTCCTTTTTTCTATAAATAATAACAACAACACAGTGGTTATGCTGATCAAGCCTTCTCACAGATACAACCATGGGTTGGCACTCTGGATCCCCCCTTCCCCTCTGTATCCTTCTGTTACTCTTCTCTGTTTCTACTACTTCAACTGGCCTAACCAATATTCCAGTTAAGCTGCTGGGAGACATGGGAACTTGGAAAGTAAGGCACACTTATTTGCCACTCAACAACACCAATAAATAAGCATCTGCTTGGTCCCTGAACCCCCTAAGCACCTTAGCGATTCACATTATAACATGTCCCTTGGGCAACCACTTGGAGACCTACCTGTCCTGCTAGATACCTACTGTTCTGGGAAACACTAACACTAGCGCTGTTACTCCTCCTCCTTTTTTTTTTTTTTTTTTTTTTTTTTTTGCGCTGTATGCCCAAATCTGTACAATTGTATCTCATTCTTCTCATGTCTTACAAAAGCCTCTTAACCTACAAAGGGCTCCTGACCTGTCTGCTGTTCTTATGCTTTTGTTTTATCAATAAACACATTGATCAAAGAAAAACACATTGGTTACTAAATACCACTGATGGAAAGTGCTCCTATTCTCAAAATGTTATATAAAACTCATTTGAGTGCATGAGTGATTGTCAAGTATCACAGTGCTAGAAACTGAATAATGCTCTGGCTATGAAGGGTGATACAGGCAGGCACTCAAATGGGTAAGTTACTGAGTAAACATAACTCATGTTGGTTTGCTCGGAAACAGTCTTGTTTTTTTTTCCCTCCCCACTGCAAACTGCAACCACTGAGATATTATATATATATATATATATAACACACCATTTTAGTTTTGGTAACTGGGTTGTTTGTGTGTCAGTGTCAAAAGCATAGTGATTGTCAGATGAGATCCTGCAAAGAATGTTACACACTCTGCTGGTTCATGAGACTTTCCAGCTCATGTGATATTCATCTCACTGATCATCACTCATAATCTATTGGGGTGTGTTTGTGTGGGTTTTTGTAATAAATGGTCAGTTTTGGTTCACAGTTGCACTGGAAATGTTTGGACCTAATAACAATTCTAATGTCTATGGCATCTTAAGTCGGCTCTAATTAATTTCACTCTTGCTTATCACATATGATGTGGCTAATTGTATAATTTTTTTTTGCAGAATTCCAAAAGATCGCAATGGCAACGGCAATAGGATTTGCAATTATGGGATTTATTGGATTCTTTGTAAAACTAATTCACATCCCCATCAATAATATTATTGTGTAAGTGTAAACAAAATTATTCATTTTATTGGGACTTGGGCTACATTTCTGCTCTCGACTTCTAGACTTAAGAACTGCAACATGGCAGATTTGTCTAGTGTCATTTTGTGATAGCTGTGTGTGTTGGGAATTTTTTTTTTTTTTCCTAGGTCAAAAGTTTTTTTTACTTAAGCTTATGAAAAATGTAATCATCCAGGAACAGGATATTTAAAAAATGGCATTTGCTGCAGTGCTCACAAACAGTCTTTTTTTTTTTTTTTTTTTTTTCCTTCTTTTTCCCTTGATGTCCTTTAGTCTTTGGTGCTGGCCATCATTTAACCCAATCAACACTCTTCCTCTAGACCAGGGGTGTTAAACTGGCAGCCCTCCAGCTCTTGCAAAATGTCCCATCATACCTCTGCCTTTTGGAGTCATGCTTGTAACTGTCAATCTTGCAATGTCACATGGGACTTGTAGTTTTGCAACAGCTGGAGGGCAGCCAGTTTGACACCCGTGCTCTAGACTGAGGCTGCAAAATGGTGTTTCTACAATAGTCTGGGCTTAGAGTATTAATGTGCACATACATAATGTGAGCACCCATTCAGTGCAGCAGTGAGGAGTACTACTAGAAGAACCGACTAGATAGATATTTGTATAGTGTGGGGTTTTTATTTTAACTGGACTTCTGCTTTTAATAAACGTAACAAATCTTTGTCTCAATTTTCAGTGGCAGCTAGACTTCCCGGCTCAGACAACAAGCAAGGACTCTAAACCTCACCGTTATGTTAACAGACGAGTTCTAGTATTTTGTTTTTATGTATATTTTATATTTGGCTTGATTTCATGTAATAAAACCTGTAAAAATGTTTTTTTTTTTTTGTCCTATTAAAAGTTAGATTAAGCTAGTGAAGATGTTGTGTTATGACTTGAGCCCTCACAGTGTGCCATTCATCAATCAACAAATAGTTATTTTCAATTAAATTGGATAGGTGCCCAATTGATACTCACATGGCAGGGTTGTTAAGACTTTAGACTAGTAGTTGACAAATTGCAAGGTAAAAGGGCCTCAAATACGGCCGCTAATGTCTCTAAAGGCCTGCATATGGAATTCATTTCATGTAATCCTCCCGGAAACTTTTACAGACTGAAAACTTGTTAGAGGAAATGGTCAGAGAAGGTTCTACTGGAGTGGTTGGAAACTAAAGTCACACTATAGGAGACTGTCAGACTAGGGTTATGCTTCAGGAAACTGCTAGACGTGACTAAAATTAGGGACCCTTTTCAAATCAATGTTCCCTCTACTGACTGCTGGGGCCCAAGGGCTGCACAGTATCCAGTTAACAACTTGCCTACAGGGCACTTGTACCCACTTCCTTATCAGGCCAATTTTCAGTTTTCAGAGCTGTCGCACTTTGACAATTGCGCAGTCATGCAACATTGTACCCATATGAAATTATCTTTTCACACAAATGGATTTTTTCTTTTGGTGGTATTTAATCGCCACTGAGTGGTGTTATTTTTTGCATAATAAAAAAAAAAAAAAAAAAAATTTGAAGAAAAAAACGTTTTTCTTTATTTCTATTATAAAATTTTGCAAACAGGTAATTTTTCTCCTTCACTGATGTGTGTCTGAGGTGGCACTGATGGATGGCACTGGTGTGCATTGATCATCAGCGCCGATCCCTCCTCCGACAACTGCCGGTTTTCGGCAGTACTTTCCTCACGCTGTGACAGCATGAGGAAACTGCAGCCGATAACCGGCAGTTGCATTTCTTGGTGATCAGTGTGTCATTGGACACGCTGATCACTTGGTAAAAGGCTGCTGTGATTGGCTTTTTACCATATCACTTGATCAGCTGTGTCCGTAGGACACAAATCACAGGGTGCGCGAGAGTGCGTGCTGGGAGGATGTCATATGATGCCGGCCGCAGTGAAGCTGTCATTTGGCTATCTGCGGTCGGCAAGTGGTTAAGTGAAGGCATGAGGTTTCTTTACATCTTACTGTGACATTTATGCGACTGTGATCAGGAGTTTTATTTACAGTGGAAAAAATTATTTGATTGCCTGCAGATTTTGTAAGTTTGCTCACTTACAAAGAGATGAAGGATTTATAATATCATAGGTGTATTTTAAATGATAGATACAGAATATCAACCAAAAATCCAGAAAAAAAAAAAACCCACATGCTTCTTGCTGATGGTCTTGTAGCCCATTCCAACCTTGTGCAGATCTACAATCTTGTCTCTGACATCCTTTGACAGCTCTTTGGTTGCGCTCAAGAAAGTAATTCTGTACACATGAGTTGTCATTAGGAGCACCTTCTTAAATTGACAGGACTAATGTGTACCACATGAGCACATAGCCAGTCTGTGGGAGCCAGAATTATTGTTGGTAGGGGATCAAATACTTATACTTATTTTACTCACTGAACTGTAACTCCTATCATTTGTATTCTGTGTGGGGGTGTGGTGTTTTTTTTTTTTTCCTTCTGGATTTTTGGTTGATATTCTGTCTATCGTTTTAAAATACACCAATGATCCAATTTTTTTTCATTGTAAGTGTGTAAACATACAAAATATGCAGGGGATCAAATAATTATTTTCCCCACATGAACCTGTAGTTTGAAGTAGAACTATATGCAAAACTTCTCCCCCCCCCCAATTTTGGATAGTGTAAGGGACTGTTATATCCCCTGTCAGATTCATGTGTCCCTTTTGGACCCTCACTTCCTGTCAAAACAGGAAGTGAGAGGAAGATTTCCCCTCTCACTTCTCTGGGGACAGCCTACAATTTGAGATTTTCTTTGACTTGCAATGATCATGGTAAACAGAACAAAGAGAGGGTAAGTCTTCCTAAAGGGGACACAGACTGCAATAAAGATCTAATAGGTGTTTTAATCCATTCTCAATCACGTAAAGAGCTGCACAAACTGTTGGTGCTATATAAATCCTGTATAATCTGTCCTAAACAAAAAAGCTTTGTATTTAAATATACAATCAAGACCCCCATTCGCACTATTCATTTTGTGCTAATGTGATATAGAATGAAATTTATTCTGGATGGTACCTTACTGACATACATTCACCAGCCTCTTTATTAGGTACACTTGTTCGATTGCTTGGTAACACAAATTGATAGTAAGCCAGCCAATCACATGGCAGCAACTCAATACATTTAGGCATCTGCCTTGGTGAAGATGACTTGTTGAAGTTCAAACCGAGCATCAGAATGGGGAAGAAGGATTTAAGTCACTTTGATAGTGGCATAGTTGTTGGTGCTGCTTCTGAGTATTGAAAACTGCTGATCTACTGTGATTTTCACACACAGCCTCCTCTAAGGTTTACAGAGAATGGTCTCAAAAAGAGAAAATATCCAGTGTGTGGCCAAAAATGCCTTGTTGATGTTGTCTTGTCGAACCAGTCTGTCCATTCATCAGAATGGACGGACTGGTTCGAGATGATAGAAAGGCAACAGTAACTCAAATAAGCATTCGTTATGACCAAAGTATGCAGAATACCATTTCTGAATGCACAGCACATCAAACCTTGAAGCAGATGGGCTACAGCAGAAGACCACTCCAGGTGCCATTCCTATCAGCTAGGAACAAGTCACACAGGTTTACCAAAATTGGACAATAGAAGATTGTAAAAATGTTGCCAGGTCTGAGTCTCGATTTCAGCTGCGGAATTCAGAGTGGAGTGTCAGAATTTGGCATAAATGACATCAAAGCATGGATCCATCCTACCTTGTATCAATGGGTCAGGCTGATGATGGATATTTGTTTGGCACACTGAGCCCTTTAGTACCAATTGAGCATTGTTTAAACGCCATGACCTATTTGAGTATTGTTGCTGACCATGTCCTTCCCTTTTAGACCTACAGTGTACCCATCTTCTGATGGCTACTTCCAGCAGGATAACGCACCATGTCTCAAAGCTCAAATCATCTCAAACGGTTTCTTGAGCACAATGAGTTCACTGTACTCCAATGGCCTCCACAGTCACCAGATCTCCTTTGGGATGTGGTATACCAGGATATTTGCATCATGGATGTGCTGACCACAAATCTGCAGCAACTGTGTGATGCTATCATGTCAATATGGACCAAAATCTCTGAGGAATGTTTCCAACGCTTTGTTGAATCTATGCCACCAACAATTAAGGCAATTCTGAAGGTAAAAGGGGGTCCAATCCAGTACTAGCAAGGTGTACCTAATAAAGTGGCCGGTGAGTGTACATTGTAACATACTTTTGATACAGTGCAAAAAAAAGTTACGTGCACTTTTTTCTCTGTGTTAGGTAGCCCATTCATGTGAATAAGCTGCCCTAATGCATTTAGCAGGGCAATAGTGTGAATGGGCTCTGAAGAGAATACGATAACATAGAATGTATTGATTTCAGTTCATTAGCAATGTGATTGCTTATAAGCGTTCACACTATGTTGGAAGCCAGCTTTGCCTTGCCAACTTGTTGCCAGCTGGGACTCTTGCGGAAAGTAAAATCTCAGGTGCTTGTGCTTAAATTGCTAGTATTGAGATTTTAATTAATGCTTTTTTGGAGATTCAGGTTATTTAAAATGCAATTTGCATTTGTTAGCTCTTATATGTGACAAGTAATTGCATGTCCTCATTTTTAGGGAACAGGTGACATCCTATATTTAAACTAAATGTGATACTTAGCAGTGTTATATTTTCTCTTATGATCAGTGACGGACACAGTGTCTTCTTTATCCATAACCAAGCAGTCTTTTCTGCCTAGTAGCTCAGGAGTATGGGCGTATAGTTTTGCTGGGACTTGTGGTCCCACAACTTTTCTCTTTTCCTTTTTCCTGGGATTTTGTGTTCTTGTGGAGATCTTCTATTCAACAGTTGGGCTGGATAATCTGGATTCAGTGGTCACCCCAGTCTGACCAGTGAGCGCACGCATACCACCAGCTTTGCGCTAGGTTGACCGCGACTATGCCCCATGGACCTGGGTGGCCAGCCAGTTAAATGCATTGCGGGGACGAATATGACCGATATGCCTA